TAATCACTGATATGTGTACCTTTATAGAATACTATTTTTAACAAATATAGAAACGTGGTTTGAAAGATATAGGTCTTTTATTGGGGTAGGGGTTCCATGTTATTGCATTTTAACCCCGCCCCACTCTTTGAAGCCTATAAAAGATACGAGCGCAGGAAGGTACAAATTTCTCCTTTGGCTGGTCACTGTATTTCATTGAAATTTACCTACATGTGTATATGTGAAAGGAGAAACTTGTACCTAACTGCACTCACATGCTATTTTTTTTTTAAAAAAGTAAAATCTAGTTGACCTTTCCCATTATAAACAGATCGACGGAACTAGATTTTCTGAGGTAAGAATGAATTCATATGCTAATCGAGGCACTGGCGATACTTTGTAACTAACCAATCAGCTAAATGAAATTCATTATGAGTGAGTTCCACAAAAATACTATGGAAACATGCTTGGAATTTTACTGCTCTCCGATATCTTTTTATGTACATGTATTTGAGTCACAGATTAGACACGGGTCTACATATGTACCATTTCCGAGACCACAGTAAAATTTATATACAGTTACAAACAATTGATAGAATATACATGATATACATTAGTTTATACATTAGTTTAAAGTTTTGTAGCGTGTTTAGTGAGCAATTCGCTAGGTCTACACGTATTCCCGAGTATCGGCGAATACAAGTTTTATGTGCATTTCTTGTCCTAAAAACCGTAAATGCTGAAAATTCATGCATATTATTAAGTTTAAACAGCATTGGCTGACCATTATATAAGTTTGAAATGTTGAAAAGGATAACAGGTAAATTGACCTAAACCACGTATGATAAAATGTAAACGTAGTAAACCACTGGCAGTATGTTTTGTTCTTCTTTCATCGGATTGGACAATGACTAAGTGCGAAATAATAACGGTTTATTCCCACTTAGCCAACATTTTGAAAAATCCTATTCCCACATAGCCAACGTTTTGATTTTTACACCTGAGTGATCGACAGGCTATAGTCTGTTTTTAGGTATAAGTATATATGGATTACATTACATTAGAATTACTACTGTTGAAAATAAAGTGTAAAAATACATAAACCAAAATTATAATTTTAATAAAAATAATTATACCAGTAAAATTAATCAAAAAAATTAAAAGTTTGTTTAAATGTACTTAAATATATAAACACACATTTGCATTTTATTTTTTTGGAAAAAATTAAATATTTATCAAAAAATATGAAATTTGATTTTATAAAAATAAAGTATTTATGATGATACAAAATATTGGAAACAATTTTAAATGCTCTTTTATGTAATTAACATTTGAGACTAAAATTATTTAATATGAGTAAGTAATATTTGATCATGGTAATGCATGAATACAGTAATAAAAGCTGATACAAAGTGATTAATTATCTGATGAAAAAATCAACTTACATATTCACTACATACTTGATATTCACATCACTACTTATTTAATTATAAAGTTTCATTAGTTAGGTCCTCAAATTTAAAACTTTTTTAAATTCCTGTCAATTTGTTTTATTTGTTACTCTACTATAGAAAATGACCCAAAATTATTTAAGAAATAAAAAAAGGAAAAACTATTAATAATCTAAACACATGTGTATATTCAATGAAAAATGCGTTTTTACATGTATTTTATTAAGAAATATATTTAAAACTACATATATATATATACGGCATTTCTGAAATATGAAAAGATATTGAGTGTAGATATACATGATAAATATTATTTTAAATCAAGTTTAAATTTTCACCAATTTTGAACGATAACCCTACGGTTTCTATAATTTAACTGACTTAACTTAAAAACTAGCATTTCTATAGTTTAACTAAGTTAAAGTTAAAATAAATCAATTAGAAATGCCTTTTTTAAACTTTGATTATCTGGTGTTCTTGCATGAACACTCTTGAAATCATGTGCCAAAATGATGTTGATTCTTTGAAACAATTATGTACATTTATTTCTAAAATTAATAGTATTGTCTGTTCTCCTTAATTATCACCTTCTGCTTGACCCACTGTATTATATGTATATATGTTTTACATGTTTTTGTACCTCATGTACCATTTACATGGTTTTGAGAGAATGAATTGAATTGAATTGAATTGAATACATACTCAAATTAATATACAGATTAAAATTAATAAATATTTTATTCACCTTAAAACAGACTATACCCTACCTGTAATTAATTTCTTTTGTTCTCCACCTACACCCCATTCCCACTTAGCCAACACAGATTTACCTGTGTTTTACCTGTATTTTTTCAAAATGTTGGCTAAGTGGGAAGACACCATAATAACAAAAGCCATATAAGGTCTTCTCGGACACGCATATCCCTCTATTATACTAAGACCCGCCCATTCTCTTGCCAAAAAAGAGAATATTCGCACAAACCTGACCGGATTTAGCTGTGATAGGGTCTAAAAAATCAAAGATAATGCAATATTCCTTATAATTAAAATGTGCCTGAACTATTGAAACTATTCAAAAGGTGTCGTTTTTATTCACTCATGTTTGAAAACTACCAACATCGTTGTAGATTAAATATAATTCATCGTGGAAAAAGGGGCCCAAGATAGCAATTATGTCACATCATCCTTTGTCAATATTTTGGTCACATGCCGATGAAAAAGTATACGAAGTAAAAATTATATAAATTTTCACATTACTTTTTAGAATACATAATTCTGTAGTTGGCAGAATATTAATTTTGTAGCTGTATGATATATTTAAAGTAAAAACGCATTGATAAAAGTTCATATAAGCTTATTTTGTGATGTCATACACTTCTTTCCATTGAATTAAAGTGTTTTATGGCCAAATGTTGTTCATTTTCTTTTCATTTTTTCCTTGTATACCTTAAACTATTCATAATAAATGCCATAAAAACACTAAAATTGTTTCAAATAAGCTCATCTTGTAAATATCAAGACTAAACAGTTTTTCCCGATTTGCTGGAATGGGGTTAAAATCGCGGCTTTTTCGATTCATTAATCAGACAATGCCATGCAACAAATGAAAGTAATAATTTATATAACCTAAGGATTATTACTTAGTTATTTCTTGTCTTAATGTTGTTATGGTCGCATTTATTCCAAAATCAATGTTATTTGAACTATGTGTGACAGAGGAATGGCGGACGTAAGGAACACATGGAATTTTCAAGAATGATGGATAAGTATAAGAAAAAAGCGAAACAAATGGTTGTAGCCATATTATCAATGAACCGCACTGAATGCATTTTTTAAAAGCATTTTTCATCTCGTGAATGCTGTAGCTGCGCAGTTCTAACATGATTAATTTTCTACTAATTAAAACAAAATGAACTTAATTATTTACTAATTTTGGTCTCTAACAGTAGGTAATGAGTGCATTAGCACTTTGAGTAACTTTGGGCTTGTTTGGTCGAGTATTAAGCGCATTCTTGGTATTTCTTATTTTTACACCAGACTAGATCCACTATGGCTTGTACATCCCCCTTAATTCAGAAAACCTGCACTGCAGCAGACTTGCAGCAAACGTTTGCATTCCGCGGAATCTCTTATTGTTCTCAATCCACTGGTAGAAAATTACGCGGATATCTCAAGACTCTATATATATGCATTATATTTGCAATAAGTTCGATTGTATAAATTTCTGCGGAAAATTTGTTACCGCGTACATGGCGTAAATTAATACTACATGGAAAAAAATACTTCTACAGTATTTTTAAGCATATCACTTTTATGTATCAAATCAACTTAAAGATATACTCCAAATGTAGGTGACTATAGGTGATTCTTTGGATATTGATACCTGAATATTGGATGCTGACAAAAAAAATGTTAAGGTCATTACGTTGATCATGATATTTTTGTTAGGTTACCATTTATGCCTACTTCCAGTAAAACAACGAACTATGAAACAGATTGGACAAATGTTGTAATATCTTGTATTTCAATTTCACTGGAACATATATTGAAGTTGACATTTAAGAAAATAGTTATCACTTTTTGAGTTTTATTTAGATGTAAAACGGGTTGGTCACGTGTTAAAATCCCATAAAGCCAAAAGGGATTTATCGAAGGTTTGATCATGTGCCAAACCGTTTTACAACATCCCAATAAAACTCAAAAAATTATATCATTACTTATATTTCATTTGTAATTGATTTATTACAAATAATAAGTTTTAAATCCATGAAGGATTTATTTTTTCAAATCTCAACGGTATAAATGTTATGTGTTGATCACTTAAGACGTCATTATGAAATTACGTAGATCGCTTTTGACTAAACAATCAATTTATGGTCACATGACGAACGTGTTTTACAAAGAAATAAAAACGCCTTGTTCAAATAGTGTTATAAAAGGCAAACATTAGCAAATGTAAATATATATATAGATATAACTAGCTATTGTTGATTGATATACCTCCAAGTCGATTTGAAGGCAACAAAAGGTGCTTTCTTCTTCTTGTGTACAAGTGTTTAAATAAATTATGCTTCATAAAGTTCATATGAATACAAAAATGTTTGTTAATAATGAGGTACATCTTACCAACTTCAGAACTCTACTTGTGAGTACAATCATCTGGAATTGTTTTGATGAAATTATGTTTTTAAAGTACCAGTGATTAGATTAATTGAAAAGTTCTATTTTTTAAGATCAAAAAGCAGATGTCGTTGGTGTCAAAGTGGTTGTATAAAGTTTTGTAAAGTAGTACGTTGTGATGTAATTGATTTTGGTAAATTATTTGCAATTTCAAAATATTCGAGGTTCCTTGGAATTGTTGAGTACCCATATCTTGTTAACACTACTTCTTTAAAATGTCGTTGCTTAGTACTGTTGAAGTTTCTGGTCGGTGAGGTAGGTAGCTGAACGAGCACAAGGCTGTTTATATTACCGAGTTAGTCTCAATGCATCGCAAATTGGCCGTTGTTTTGTTTGGCTGACAGTATGAAATACTCGGTACTCTAGTGAATATCTTCAGTACAGGACAGAATGGCAGCTACGTTACTTCTTAGAACTACTGACAGTAAACACCTGATTCCAAACAACAAGCCTAAAAACTTTACAGTTGCAATGCCGAAATGGTTAGCGTTTAAGGGACACTGGACACTAGAACAAAGCGAATTATATACCACGAGCATTGCCGGGACAACTGAAAAGGAGCTCTTTATCTACTTCGATGCATGTGACATGTCTTTGGTGGGTGAACAGTTTAGACCATTATTGAGGCATGTTGTTTTGGAATCTAAGAAGAATCACTCATATCTAAATATGAATTGTAAATATATACTCTGTTCATTGTATTGCAACCTTGACCTGTTATATAGAGAGGGTATTTATAGGCTTAAGCCTGTTGCCCAATCTATTCAGTTTACTGAATAAAAATATTGTTTAAATCAAGAAGAATCAAATCTTCCTGAGACCGTACGCAGTACCGCTACGAATCAATGATTTGAGAACATACGACTGGATTTAAGAGATAAAGATAATAAGCTTGCTACTTTCTTGAATGGTGAGTTGGTTCTGACTCTGATATGGCGACCCGTAGTATTGTCTATTCCAACATAACAACATACAAAAAGTGATATTTATCTGTGTCTCAAACATTCACATACTATAAGACGAAAAATTAATTTGGGATTCTTACAATGCAGCATACCGTAAACCACGAGAAAACGATTGGGGACAGAAGGAGATATTTTTTGTACATTCGAAAGACACTTAAGAGGAAGACTTTAACTCTACAGAAGTAAAGACTAGTTATAAAAGTGCGAGTGTTCTTGAAGATGAGGACAAAAGTACAATTTGAAGACCATGAACCTAACAAACAACACCATGTAAAATGGACTCATTGGCCGTCAAAAAATTTTGTTCTTTGAGTAAAGTCTATGATGTGAAAATTTGCAGTTATTGACTTCCTGACTTTTTAATATCTCATTTGTAAATCAAACGCTTGAAAACAAAAATAAAGGTTCGTTCGAGTTTTTCCCCCAAATGTCTGTAAAATTATATTTTGAAAATCTTGAATTAAGTAAATATCATGGTAACAGTGTTAATGAATAATTTGGTTACTTCCGGTCTATTATTTCATTTGATCAATTTTGGTCAACTGTGATCCCATTTTCCAAATGGTGATGTCATTTTCTATTCGTCTTTCCCTCGGATAAAGGCCTATAACTGAGTCAGTTTAGCCAAAGAGTAGAGTCAATACAGCGTATAGGTCTTGGGATCTCTCGGAATAAGGTGTATAGATGTGGTCGTTCAGCTACCAACATCAGCAGCATCAAAAACAACAATTATTAAATCTCTTAATCTTTCATTTCGTCTCCTTTATTGTATAATGGAATAAAGGATTACATTTGTCGTATTAGTGTTTTCTACACAGTAGTATTTACTTGACAAGTGTATATTAACTCCAGTCATTTCTGTGTCTGGTCAGCCATGGTCAATCTAGCGTGATCGGTCGAAGAGTGGAGACAATAGAGCGTAACGAAAAAGGAGTATAGTCTACGTCAGACCCTGGACAAAGTCTTTAGCCTACGTCAGACCTAGGCACGTAACATCGTTTTTCAAAGTGGTGGGGGGGGGGCAACCAGAGAAATATTTTTTACCTACCCGAAAAAGTTGACAAGAAAAAAAAAAAAAAGAAGGAAATTAAAAGTTTGCCCAAACTCGAAAATCCTATTTCGGTGGTGGTGGTGGTGGTAGGGGGGGGGGGGGGGGTAGTGGCCAACTTTTTCGGGCCAACTTACTATCACTTCCAATTTTTTCCCTACATTCCTTGATATTACAATACTATAGTAACTATAGTAATAAGTGGGGGGGGGGGCAACCATCCTTTCAATGAACATTTACTATAGTAAAGGTAATGTTGGGGAAAAAAGTGGGGGGGGGCAGCCCCCCCCCCCCCCCGGCCTCCCCCGGTTGCTACGTCCCTGAGACCCTAGAGTGTGGTCAATAGAGTGTAATACGTCAGACCCTGGAGTGTGGTCCATAGAGCGTAATGAAACGGGTCTCTTGCTTATAGCCTGAGGACCCACCAAACTGGCTCCAAATGTTACGCCTTATACTACTCTAAGTGAAACATTACATAAACAGGTTAATATGTGTCTCTAATGAGTCAAAAATAACTTTTTCCCTTGTCAAGGATAGACTATTTGACTCTGAATGGAATAAAAGGACTGACAAAGAGCTTGGTTCACTTTATGCATAAAATGGCCCTGAAGATATACATGTACCAATTGATTGATCATGATAAACAATTTATGTTCCATTTGAAGCATTGAATAAAATAGAGACTATTAAACATTATCTCCTACAAGTCCAGGTCATGTAAAAGGGCTTTATGAAAATACAATGTTCTTGAATTTAAAGGTAAACAGGTGTATTTGAATACTTTCTTTGAAGAAAAATAATATGAACACACTCTCTAATCTAAAAAAATAAAACATGTATTTTACTCCTAAGTAACAGTTCTATAATTTATTAATTGCATATTTTAGATAAGAGGTTGTGCTCCATATTAGATATCGATTTTAGCATTAAAATTGATTGACCGTTTTGTAGACTTTTTCAGAATATGAGGAAATTGACGTCATAATGTATTGACTAGCCAAAAAATTACGTCATTTTTTATAGATATGCAAACACAAAAGATCTAGATGATATTCAATGCATTGTTAACATAAATATGCAGTTTTAGTTTTTCAGAAATTCACAGGGCCAAAAAAGGCAAAAGTGAACCTTGTTCTTTATAAAGTGAAAGATCTGTTATTTATTCAATCATTAAATAACCTCTCCTCAGCTGTAAAGAAAAAATGTTTATGCAACCTTTTAGGCCTCTGAGGCTGCGCCCACAAAATGGTTAAAGTATCATAAGAAGAACTCTTTTTTTAAGAATAGCATAGAAATAAACACATTCAATTCGATGCAGTTTCATCCCAAGTACATGTATTAACAAGAGGCCTACGGGCCTTAAAGGTCACCTGAGTATCATGAAACAACTTTCCAAATATTGAATTTGGTTTGTGTTTTAAACCATATGCCATGAAATTCACAATATTGAAAGAAGCACCATTGCTTATCATAATTATACACTAAGAATGCTGACTCTAGTTACTTGATACCCAGAGTTAGATCAGAGTAAGAAAGAGAAAATGCATTTTCACTTTATAACCAGCTAGTGGTGCACCCCACCCCTCAGGAACCACTGACCCTAGGGCCACACATTTCAAAATTTATCAAATTTTATCCAATTTATCCAAACTCTTTTGCGTGAAAAGAAGAAAACACTTGCTGTTGCCTTCAACTCGACATTTAGATATATCGACGACGTATTGTCAATTAATAATGACAATTTTCATTCCTACGTCGACACGATATATCCTGGTGAACTTGAGATAAAAGATACCACAGAGTCCGACACTTCTGCTTCATACTTGGATATTTTACTTGAAAAAGACACTAATGGTAACCTAACAACCAAGCTATATGATAAACGTGATGACTTTAACCTTTCTATCGTCAACTTCCCTTACTTATGCAGCAATATTCCTTCATCACCTGCATACGGAGTATTTATATCTCAGTTGATTCGATACGCAAGAGCATGCTCTACGTATGAACAATTTCTTAAACGAGGTAAATTATTGACAAGCAAGTTGATGAAACAAGAATATCAACAGTCTCGTTTAAAGTCATCATTTCGTAAATTCTATGGTCGATACAATGACCTTGTCAGCAAATACAATTTATCATTGAATGAAATGCTGACTGATGTTTTTCATACCAATTGTTAGTCCATTATTTATACACTGAATTGACCACGGATTTTTTCCGTTATTTCCTGAATATGACAACGAGCACACGGCGGGTGTGACCGGTCGGCAGGGGATGCTCACTCCTCCATGGCACCTGATCCCACCTCTGATGTTTCGGAGGTCCGTGTTTGCTCTGCTCTTATTTTGTATATTTGTTTAATGGACGTTGAGATTGAATACTGTTCGTTATTTCCATATCCTTCTCATCATAAATTTTATTTTATTAAAAATGGTTGATTAATACCACAGAGCAGATTTCAAAGCATTTATTTATCTTCAGACTATGTACTGTATTTATTGTTAACCCCCCCCCCCCCCCCGCCCCGATATCTCTGACCCCAGAGAACATGAAAATTCATCATTTTGCTAGATGCTCCTTTCTTCATCATAAATACAGTAGACCTTCAAATATCCGGACGCCAGATATCCGGATGCTTCAGTATCCGGACGATTGTTCATCGGAACAGAATTTTTAAATGTTATATTTTCTTGTTTCACTGGTGATTCAGGTATCCGGACGCTTCACATATCCGGACAAATTGAAAGGGAACCAAAGCGTCCCGATAAATGAGGCTCCACTGTATATAAACTAAGAGCATTCGCATAACACCTAGGAGCAATGAAAAAGATTTTTAAAGAATTCGTGCATTTTCCCTATATAATCAAAAAGAGTTTCCTCCTTACACCAAAACCCCTGACCTTACACCATAACCCCTGACCAGGGGCCATGACATTCACAAATTTGGAAGAGGCATCTTTCCTCATCATAAGTTTGTAAATAGTTTATTGGATTAATACCCAGGAGCAGAGAAGAAGATTTTTGAAGAATTAATGTTTTTTTTAATGATTTTATACAATCAATAGAAAGCCCCGCCCTTACACCAGAACACCAGAACCCCTGACCCTAGGGCCATGAAATTCACAATTATTGAAGAGACACTTTGGTCATCATAACTATGTTCTTAGTTAGTTTATTTAGTACCCATTTTTTCTATATGGTCTATATAGCCCCGCCATAACTCCATGAATTTCACAATTTTGGTAGAGGGCCCAATGCTGATTACAATGATGTCAACAGTTTGACTGCTTGATCTCCAGGAGTAAAGAAGAAGATTTTTAAAGATTGCATTAATTTTAATGGTTTTGGCCCAACCTCTCAGGCCCCAGGGGGGCAGGAACCATGAAATTCACAATTTTTGTTCCCCATCACCTATAGATGCTGTATACCAAACTTGGTTGAAATTGGTTCCGTGAAGAAGGATATGGAAATAACGAACAGTATTCAATCTCAACGTCCATTAAACAAATATACAAAATAAGAGCAGAGCAAACACGGACCTCCGAAACATCAGAGGTGGGATCAGGT